GAAGGAGCTGTGCAAGGCACTGGCGGCGCACTACTATGGATCGGTGAGTTTGTTTCACTTGTAGATTTGGAGTCAAGGTGAATGGATATATGCGTCATTCCCTTCGAATGCATAGAATGTGTGGGTCATAGCTTTCCCCTACAGTCCTTTCCATGCCGCATTGCCCTCGTCCACTGCGTTCCAGGAAGATTTCATGATCCGTGTAGACATGAGCGAGTAGTACATGGAGCGCCACGCTGCCAGCAAGCTGGTCGAATGTATGGTTCAATTCAACTGACCCCCTCATTCCCCTTCATGCCGCGTGGCTTTGCCCCCACTCCCTGCCGGTTTTTGAGTCGACTCAAAAACCGACTCATCATCTGCCGCATGGCTTTGCCCCCACTCCCTGCCATTCAGGAGGATTCCATGATCCGTGTAGACATGAGCTAGCGAGCACATGGAGCGCCACGCTGCCAGCAAGCTGACTGGATGCATGGGTGCAAAGGCCCCACTTGTCCAATCAGCTTGCTCACTCCCGCCCCGTATCGCATCCCTATTCAGGAGGATTCCCTGATCCGTCTCGATATGAGCGAGTACATGGAGCGCCACGCTGTCAGCAAGCTGATTGGAGCGCCGCCCGGCTACGTGGGGTACGGCGAGGGCGGCAAGCTCACGGAGGCCGTCCGCAGGCGGCCGTTTTGTCTTATTCTCCTGGACGAGATCGAGAAGGCGCACCCCGACGTCTTTAATCTCCTGCTGCAGATTTTCGAAGACGGGCGGCTCACTGACTCGCAGGTGGGTGGGTTTGTGTGTGGTGTCTTGACTTATCAAAGCGCATCCGAACGTCTTTAATCTTCTGCTGCAGATATTCGATGACAGGTGGCTGACCGACTCGCAGGTAAGCTTGTCAATATTCTAAGCTTCTCATCTTTTTTTTAATAATGCTAGCTCGTTTAAAAGTATAAGACTTGTCAATGTCGCCCTCCTTCTAACCCCCTTCCCTCTCCCTTTCTCCCCCTCCCTTTCTCCCCTTCCCTTTCTCCCCCTCCCCACTTTCCCCTCTCCTCCCTCGCTCTCACTCCCCTCTCCTACCCTTCCCCGCTGCCGTCCCTGTTAACCAATCCAGGGCCGCCACGTGTCATTCAAGAACGCCCTGATAGTTCTGACGTCCAACGTGGGCTCTCAGGCCATTGCACGAGGCGGCACCCACCGCATCGGCAATCCCACCATCATTCACCCTCTTTCTTTACTCCCTTCCCTGGCCCCTTCCCGAATCACCAGGGCCGCCACGTGTCGTTCAAGAACGCCCTGATAGTCCTGACCTCCAACGTAGGCTCTCAGGCCATTGCGAGAGGCGGCACCCACCGCATCGGCTTCCTCTGCTGCTCTGACTCTCCCCCTGCCCCTCCTGTGTATGGCCAAATATTTAACCCCCTCCCACTCTCAAAAACCACCCTCCCTCCTCTATCCAATCCAGGGGCGCCACGTGTCGTTCAAGAACGCCCTGATAGTCCTGACGTCCAACCTGGGCTCCCAGGCCATTGCACGGGGCGGCACCCACTGCATCGGCTTCCTCTGATGCCCTCCCCTTCCCCTCTCCTCCCCCTCTCCTCCCCCTTGCCACTAACCAATCCAGGGCCGCCACGTGTCTTTCAAGAATGCTCTGATAGTCCTAACCTCCAACGTGGGCTCCCAGGCCATTGCAAGGGGCGGCACCCACCGCATCGGCTTCCTCTCTCCAGGGGATTATGCGGCTGCTGATGGGAATGGGGGGAGAGGTGGCGGGAGAGAGGTGCGGGCGGATGCGGGGCGATATGCGGGGATGAAAGAGGTGGTGATGGAGGAGTTGAAGGCGCACTTCCGGCCGGAGCTGATGAACCGCATCGACGAGGTGGTGGTGTTCAGGGCGCTGGAGAAGGAACAGGTGAGCATTGGGGCACATGGGGGGCTATATGCCGCGATGAGGGAGGTGGTGATGGAAGAGCTGAAGGCGCATTTTGGCCGGAGCTGATGAACCGCATTGATAAGGTGGTGGTTTTCCGAGCGCTGGAGAGGCAGCAGGTGAGAAGCGAGGGAAGGAAAGAGCATGTGCGTGCGCATGTATATGTGTGTTTGTCTCAGAAGGCAGATGCGGGCCATATGCGGCAGTGGTGTTCCGAGCGTTGGAGAGGGAGCAGGTGAGAGTGTGAATTTAGTGGCAGATGTGTTTGTGTGTGAAGAAAGTGAGTAGGATGCTGTGAGGGAAAGTCATCTGGTGATGACTGCATTGGTGGAGAGGGGGCATAGAGAGACAGCTGAGAAAGGCCGGAGAGGACCGGGCGTTCATGTGTAAGAGAAATCGAATCAGGAAGTGGTGATGTGATGGGCTGATGAATTGGATCGATCGGAGCAGCGCTGATAAGGCTGACAGGGATGGCTGTACCGTACCCAGCCCTGACAAGGAAAAAACTTTTGAGACATCTCAAAAGGGATGGTGGTTCCTTTGGCGGTTCCCAGCTCACTAGATCCGAGTGATTGCAACTTGATGGTGTGAAGTTTTTGTTTGGCTTGCCCAAGAGAGGAATCAACCTGGAACTCTCGAAAGCACTCACGGCGCGGATTTGTGGGAGGAGTGGTACAACAGGCCAATACAGAAGCTTATTCCATCATCCCCCCCACATGTTTTCTGGTCCCCCAATTTTCCAGATAATTTCCGACATGAGGAATCAACCTGATGGTTTCAGAGGCACTCGAACCATTCACCTATTTCTCTCACCCATTCCTCCCACATCTGAGCAATCGCCAACACGGTGGTGAAGAAAGGAGTCGGCTGATAGACTCGCTTCAAACAGCTCAGGGAAGTGAAGTTCTCAGGCACGCGAGTAAACTGATGGCACTCGCGAAAGGTTAGGTTGCGAAACCACAGCAACAAACTCCTTCGTGTGGTCGAGAAGGCTCATGGGCTCATGGGCTCATGGGCTCATGGGTGATCAGCAGCTCCTCTAGCTTGGTCGTGAACTCATGGCCTTCCCGACCGCAAATAAGAGTTTCTTCCGTGCATTTGCAAGCTGACCTTTTGCGAGTGCCATCACTTCACTCGATGTTTGAAAGCTTCACTTTCCTAAACCGATTGCCGACATGAGGACTTAACCTGGACCTTTCAGAAACACACAAAACAATAACCCCTTCCTCCCCCCCGTCCCTCCAGATTTGAGTCATTGCCAACATGATGTCAAAGAGTCGGCAGTTGGGTTTGCCAAGAGAGGAATCAACTTGAAAGTTCCAGAAGCGCTCATGCAACAAACCCCTCATCCCTGCCTCCTTTCTTTTCTTGTACCTTCTCTTGTCCCACACTTCCCTCCAAATGCGAGTGATTGCCAACATGATGACCAAGGAGTCAGTCGGTTGACGTGCTTGCAAAGAGAATATTAACCTGGACGTTTTATAGGCTCTCTAACCATTCACCCCCTTCTCTTCCCCCTTTTCTCCCCCCTTCTCGTCCCCCTTCCCTCCAGATTCGAGTGATTGCCACCATGATGGTCAAAGAGTCGGCTGACCGTTTGGCCCTGAAAGGAATCAACCTGGAAGTTTCCGAAGCACTCATGGAGCGGATCTGCGAAGAGGGGTACGACAGGGCGTACGGGGCGCGCCCGCTGCGACGTGCCGTCACGCGGTTGGTCGACGATCCGATCAGCGAGGCTGTGCTGGCAGCTGAGGGGAGCAGCAGCAGCGGCCGCAACCGCCACGTCAGCAGCAGTGACCTGTCGGAATCCCTGCCGTCCGTTCCCTCCGTGCTGCTTCCTGTGATCGCAGCTCACGCTGCAACAGATGCCCCCACCCCTGCTGCTGACGCCAGTGCACCCCTTAGTGACGTCAGCGGGGTCAGGGAGGGCGCGTTTACACCTGGCGACACGGCACTGGTGGACGTGGGGCAGGATGGGGAGCCTGTGGTGATCCGACTGCCACGCCCTGATGTGTGTGAGATGGGGCTGTGCCTTCCCTTCCTTAAGCTGCCTGCTGCTGCTGCTCCCACCCTCTCGCTCCCTGACTAAAGAGGTGACTTTTGAGGCAACTCAAAAGCCGTCTCTGCGCTGGTGGAGGTGGGGGCGGGGGGAACGGGGAGCCGGTGGTGATCCGACTGCCTCTCCCTGACATGTGCGAGATGGGATTGTGTCTTCCCTTCCTCAAACTGGCTGTTCCTGCTGCTCCCACCCTCTCCCTCCCTGACTCCGGGGCGCATGCGGACATGCTCGCATGTGGTAACCAGGTTAACTCTGTGATGGGGATGTGCCTTTTCTTCCAGTAACTCCCTGTTCCTGCTGCATCTTCTCTTTCCCTCCTTGAGTATCTCTCTCTGCCCTCATGACTAAGGGGCATGTTTCCCGTGTATAGTCACCAGGGCGACTGTATAGGTGGTGAATTTAATGGTTGGTGGTTATGCACTGCCAAAGGACCCAACAACAGGCGGTGGTGGCTGCAGCAGATGGGCTGAGGAGGGGAATAGAGCCTATGTAGATTTGTATATAATGGGTGACATGTGTGAGGGGAGAATTTGCTGACCTTCATGTGAGAATTTGTTGACCTTCATGTTAGGATGTGCTGCACATGGTGGTGGCAAATTATGAGCATATGTCAAATTTGAGAAACTGAAGGCGTTGTGTGGTTCCGGGAGTCTTTTTATGCAGTTTTGATTGTGTTAATTCTATTTGAGTGTTGAATCAACTTGTAAGAAAGTAGTTTCTATTTAGGTTTTATTAGACTACATTTGGCTTGCTTCGTACATCGGAATGAAGTGGATGTATATTTGTAGCGAACCGTCGGATGTGGAGGATCTTAGCATTGAAGGCGAAGGTAGTGATCGTCAAGCCATCCACCGTAGTGCACGGCATAGCTTGCGGCTAATTAGCGAAGCATGTGCACATGACGACGCACGGATGCTTTTGAAGCAAAACAAACTCATGAGCATAAGGGTCTTGTCCAGACGCTCTTGATAACGGGGTAGCCATTCCATTTCCCAATTGCTGGTCGCCTCGCTAACCGTCATGATCCGATCGTACGCCGTCGCCATCGCGTCGCTGCTCGCCGGAGCATCTGTCGTCCACAACATCTACAAGCCAGACCTGGTAACCACCACGTTCACCGTCAGGATTTGATGATGTCTGCGTTGACCGTCAGGAGTCGGTAACGACCGAGATGCCATTAGGTCTCCACTTTATAATCCAGCATTTTGTTTTGATTCCGCCAATCTGGAGAATCAGTAGCTATCACAATGACCCCTGCGACCCTAATCAGGGATACAAGGAGCTACAGCTGTGATGAGTGTTTCAGTACTTGTTCTTGCGTTTGGGTACCTTTCCGATCCCGTCATGCCCTTCAGGAGATTAATTAATCTCTCTCCTTCCCCCGACCATCCATGCTTATTGATGCTGAAACTTCTGACAGACTATACCCGGTGCTCTCAGCGGCAGGGAGCGAGCGGAGAACGCGGAGACTCAAAAGGCCGGGGGAGGCGAAGAGAGAGCTACCAGTACCGAGGCCAACACGAATTCAGCCTCGACATTTCCTAGGCAAAAACAATAAACGAGACAGTGAAGCCTGTTGGCAAATGCCAGATTGCTATACCATCTCTTATACATTCAATATAACAGTATTCCCTAACCCAGAAACGAACATCTGGGGCAAACAATGATTTGATAGAAAAAACTGATGTCTTGCATCTGAAGAAACTCCTTAATTTCATCTAGACACCCATTGGTTGAGAAGGTCTTGAGTGGTTCGCCAGAGAATGTTGGAGAGAGATGTATCACGAGCAAGTGGAGAGGGCGAGAGTGGGATTGCGTGGGTTCCAAACAGGTACTTCCCTGCTACTTGCTCCTGAATGAGTACGAGAAGGGAAGGAAAGAGATGGATAAGGAAAGAAGTGGAAAGGAAAGGGAACGGAAGGGAAGGAAAGGAAAGGAAATTTAAGGCCAAGGGTTCATACACAAGAAATCATCATTGGTCAACAGGAAATTGGGAGAAGTTGGGGGTAAGTGGAGGTAAGAAAGGGACAGAGGGGGGAGTGGGGGGTGGGGGGGTCAGCAGCGAGGGGAAGGGCGAAGTGGGGGGAGAGGGGGGGAAGACGAGGAGGGGCGAAGCAAGGGGAAGGAGAGAAATAGGCCTGGGGTACAGTGGAGGTGCAGAGGAAAGAAAAGGGACGAGGGCGTGAGCGAGGGAGAGGCTAGTAAAAGCCAGCTGAGAGCATTGGCGTGTGTATGGGGTATAGGTTGAGTCAGAATGTCAAAGGATACACGAACGTTAGGTCCCACGGGTCCTCACTCATTGGGAAGAGCAGCAAGGGGGTATAGGTTGAGTCAGAAAGTCAAAGCGGGTTGTTTTTTAGAATTGTCAAAAACAACCTGTAACAATGGGGTGTTTATGGGGTAGAACTTGGGTCAGAGTGTCAAAGAGCATACCTGGGAAGCAGTGGAGGCGCGGAGGAAGAGAGGGACGAGGGCGCGAGGGAGCAAACAGAGGCCGAGGAGGGAGAAGATGTTGTTGACTGTGGCTGCGAGGAGGGAAGGTAGCTCCCTTAGTACTGCAGTTCGCACCATGCCAGGGTCTATGGAGCTGGAATGGGAGGAAGCGGGGGGGACAGCACAGGAGGGTTTAAGTAAAGGCCAAGGAAGAGATGGTGTTGACTGTGGCTGCGAGGAATGAGAGTAGCTCCCTCAACACTGCAGTGCGCACCATGCCGGGGTCTGTTGGTCTGGAATGGGAGGCAGCGGGGGGGTCACGTGAAGTGGGGAGGGAGGGGAAGATGGAGTTGACTACATTGACTGTGGCTGAGAAAAACGAGGGCAGCTCCCTCAGTACAGCGGTACGCACCATGCCAGGGTCGATGGGGCTGAAGGGAGGGACAGAAATAGAGGATAGAGCATTGACTGAGTTGACTGCGTTGACTGAGGCTGCGAGGAAGGAGGGCAGCTCCCTCAGCATGACGGGGCACGGGCAGCTCTCTCTGCCAGGGTCTATGTGGCTGGAAGGGGGGGGGAAGGAAAGAAGTAAAGAAAGACTGTGTTGATTGTATTTCACTGTGGCAGAGAGGAACGAGGGCCGCTAACACAGCACGGCAGTTCGCACCATGCCAGGGACTACGGGTCTGCTTGGGGTGGCAAGAGGGGGAGAAAGGATAGGGGTCAGAAGAGCAAAGAGAGAGCATGGGCTGTGTTGACTGTGGCTGCGAGGAAGGAGGGAAGCAGGGAGTTTTTGAGAATTCTCAAACGCTCAGCACAGCAGTGCACACCATGCCGGGGTCTATGGGTCTGCAAGGGGTGGCGATAAGGAAAGCCGGGCAGTTGAGGGCAGAAGAGAATTATACACATGGGAATAAATAGAAAGCAGTTGAGGTAAATTTGGTGGAGGTAGGCACACGAGAAAGTATAGGGAGAGAGAGGCTTACACGACAGAGATGTGACACATGAGCACAGAACATACCGTTGCGAAGTCTAAGACACGGTAAGGGCAGTGGAGGTAGGCACACGAGAAAGTGTAGGGAGAGAGAGGCTTACACCACAGAGATGTGACACGTGGAGGGCTCTGATTGGAGGAGACGCTGAAGGTGCAGTGAGAAGAGGAGCAGGCACACTGCAGGAAGGAAGGCAGCAGAGAGTAGCAAGAAACGAAGTTAGCCATTGGAGCGTGTTGGCGGAGCATGCAAGCACGCAGCATACAGTATCCACACAGCTAGTGCAGGTATCGTTTTCAGTCCGCTCAAAAGTCGAGTCGACTCAAAAGTCACCTCGAGGGTGAGGTGGGAGGAGCATGCAAGCAAGCAAGCAAGCATGCAGTATCCACACCACACAGCTAGTGCAGGTACCGGCATTGGGGACTTTCACACAGCTAGTGCAGGTACCGGCATTGGGGACTTTCACACAGCTAGTGCAGGTACCGGCATTGGGGACTTTCACACAGCTAGTGCAGGTACCGGCATTGGGGACTTTCACACAGCTAGTGCAGGTACCGGCATTGGGGACTTTCACACAGCTAGTGCAGGTACCGGCATTGGGGACTTTCACACAGCTAGTGCAGGTACCGGCATTGGGGACTTTCACACAGCTAGTGCAGGTACCGGCATTGGGGACTTTCACACAGCTAGTGCAGGTACCGGCATTGGGGACTTTCACACAGCTAGTGCAGGTACCGGCATTGGGGACTTACAGAATGTGCACAGAACACAAATCTATATACATACGTTTGGAGGCCTGGTATATGCTGGCTGCAGGGTAGAACAGAGGTGGGGGTGAGCTAGAGGGAACATGCAATCATACACATGCAACGCACACGTACGTCCATACACACGTTAGGTTGGGGTTGCGACCTTATAATAAGACCATACATACATTTAGAGGCCTGGTATATGCTGGCTGCAGGATAGAACAGAGGCGCGGGTGAGCTGGCAGGAGCGTGCGAGCATGCACCATGCACAGCATACACGTACATGCACTATGTGTGTAAAAAAACATATCTATATACATACGTTTGGAGGCCTGGTATATGCTGGCTGCAGGGTAGAACCGAGGCGCAGGTGCGCTGGCAGGAGCAGCAGCGCCTGCTGCTAGAGATGCCACGTCAGACACGTACAGCTGGCGCACTGGTATTGGAGGAAAGGGGGGAGGAGAGGGTGAATGAAGAGGAAGGGTGGCAGAGAGCCTTAATTATATGACAGCGCAACACATGTAGCGAGAGAGGGCACAGAAGAGGGTACTGTTCTACAATCACCTGTGTGAAGTAGGCTTTTCCTACTTGCTTAAACCTACTCCTAAGCAGCGCTGCTGACTGGAATTATGTCCGAAGATGTACTGTTCTACAATCACCCGTGTCAAGCATTGCCAGCAGCGCCGGGGTGTTTTGGGGGTCGCCTGCTGGTAATGCTTCACATAGTTGATTCGATGGTAAATTACTGCCGGGGTCGACTCCATGAATGCGTTTGTCAACATGCCTGATTGATGAGTGAGGGATGTCACATTGACAATGCAGCTACTACTCATTCTCGCCATCGATTCCCTCACAACGTTTCTAGGCAACGTTGCATGCGACCCCCTTCCCCCCCGCCACTCCCCCCACCCCCCCCCCCCAAAAAACAAAAAAAAAAAACACACACACACACAAAAAAAAAACATCATGTGGATGGTTCACCTGATCTATGCGTGAAGGAAGTCACATTGACTACGCGGCATTTCAGTCTCTCCTCCGCCTCCCCACATGCGCCTGTGTTGTTCCCTCCATGTGCATGTGCTTGTAAGGAGGGCGCTCGTCTTCCCATGAGCGGCAGCAGGCGGAGTGTGAGTAGCACAGGCCCGAGATAGTTGGTTGCTAGCATGCTGCGATGACCAATAAGTGGGGGAGACGAGAGGGGCAGAGAGGTGGCTGTATGTGAGGGGCGCAGGCGGAGCGTGAGCAGGACAGTCCCGAGGTAGTTGGTGGCAAGCATGCTGCGATGACAGAGGACGGATGAAAAACAGGAGGGAATCACAACAAGGAGTAGACGGAAAGGAAGGTTTGAGTGGCAGCAGGCGGAGCGTGAGTAGCACAGGCCCGAGATAGCTGGTTGCTGGCATGCTGCGATGACAGAGGACGGAGGGAGGACACAGGGGATTCACAATGGGGAATGGAAGGACAGGTCGGAATGGCGAGGGGCAGCAGGCAGAGCGTGAGCAGGACCGGGCCGAGATAGTTGGTGGGTAGGATGCTGCAGACACCGATGAGCAAGGGAAACGAGGGGCGATTCGAACGACGGGCTGGCATACGAGAGGGGCAGCAGGGGGAGCGCGAATAGACCAGGGCCGAGGTAGTTGGTTGGTAGCATGCTGAAATTGGCAGCTAGCAGGTGGAGCGTGAGCAGAGCAGGGGGGGCATGGTTGGTGGTTAAGGTGCTGCAGTCACCACTCAGCAAGGAGGAAGGGGAGCTGGGATCGTACTGGTCAACTGGTACAGAGGCAGGTGCAGAGCGGTGGGAGGCGGTAGGAGAAAGGATGCCGGCATTGTTGACAAGGAGGCATAAGGGAGGCATGGGGGAGGGAAATTGAGCCATACGCGTCTGCCATTGCTGCTGCTGCTGCTGCTGCTGCTGCTGCTGCTGCTGCTGCTGCTGCTGCTGCTGCTGCTGCTGCTGCTGCTGCTGCTGCTGCTGCTGCTGCTGCTGCTGCTGCTGCTGCTGCTGCTGCTGCTGCTGCTGCTGCTGCCATTGCTGCTGCTGCTCGCCCCACAGAAACCCCTCTTCCTCCCCCTCCCCCTCCTCCTCCTCCTCCTCCTCTTCCTCATCTACTGCCTCTTCCTCTAGTCCCCGCTCCTCTCCACCCCCCTGGCTACCCTCTTTCGCCCTCCCCTCATTCTCTTCCTCTTCCCCTCCTCGCCTTGATCCCTGCTGTGCCTCCTCCAAACTGGAATTGCTTTCGAGAAGTCCAAAGATACTCCTCTCCTTTTCTCCCACCTTTTCAATCCCCTCCTCAGCACCAGTCATAACCGCATCCAGCCCTAGTCTCGAGCGCACGAGGTGGCAGAAACGGACAACGGATGCCGGCCGGGAGAGGTCGAGCGGC